GAGAGAGAGAGAGAGAGAGAGAGAGAGAGCTATAGAGAGAGAGCGCGAGAGAGATGGAGGGGGAGCGAGAGAAATAGAGGTTTATTTCTCGTTTAGCACGCACCATATGTTGTCTTAATTATATTTCGCTTTGACATTTACATATACGTTCCACCTTTACAATTACGTAATTACGGTTAGGTTTGTTATATAGCCCTTTGAACTATGAAACGCGTGAGCGTGATGTGAGGAACCGTGTGCGTTCGCGTTTTTCACGCTACCAATTTCATGCATGTGAACAAGGACTGCTAGCTCACACGCAAAGGCCGGTTCAGACAATAACACGATGTCAAATAGAAAGCAGAATTATTACCTTAGTCATTATTACTATCAATGTTTATATACTTAATATTGCGTAATAACCCTATACTTATGTGCCGGTAAACTGCGTATGAATATGAGATACGATGTGGCCGCCAGTACGCAGTGCACGTTGTAAATAGATAAAATTGTAACGTGTACCCTGAGCATTGTATGAGTGGAATTATTACGCATTATAATAGCGCAGTGCATAATTATTGATAGCTATAGTTATAGTGACTAATACAAAATTAACTATACATCAGCATGGACATTGTAGCTTGTACAGAAGCAATTGAACCGCGCATGTATAGAACTCAGAAGTGATATATATGTAATGCATAAAAACTGATGTGGATATTGACTAGTATAATTTGACTTCATGCGCAATATATCTACTCTTCTACACGGCCCGGTTGTACCCAAGGCGTCACTTGTCCAGCATAGACCATGGGCTATCACAGGGTAGATATAACGTAGGGACGATCCAGTATAGAAAGAGCTAAAGAAGTGGTAGATGGAAATAGGTAACTTAGAACTAAACAACCCTAACGAACTATAATGTTACGGTTCAGACACCGAGCTGGTTACGCCAACTTCGGTACACAAATTGATATGGTCAGAAATAGCACACCGTGGAGGATTTTGACCGGTCAGAGTGAGCGCGGTCCAGTGTAGGAAATAAATACCGTAACACGATAGCGTTAACGCTTGACCGTATTATCAATTTTATATACATATATATATATAGTTATGGGAACTTCTCATCGCATGACGTCATCGCAAGCTCACGTCTGTGCGCAGCAGAGGCACGTGACCCTGAATCGGCTGCGGTAGCTATAAACTGGGTAAATTATGCACGAGTCATACGTGGCGCGCGTCACTGCGATCGCGTGGAAACAGCGCAATGCTCG